CTTCTTCTTCTTCTTCTTCTTCTTCTTCTTCTTCTTCTTCTTCTTCTCCTCCTCCTCCTCCTCCTCCTCCTCCTCCTCCTCCTCCTCCTCCTCCCCCCCTGCTCCTCCTCCTCCTGCAAAATGCAGTCTAGTTGCCTTTTGAAAAAGCACCTCTGGGACCTCAAGTCAATTAGCTTTGCTTGCTCAATCTTCCCAGTTGTATCTGCCCAGTTTTGACATAGATAAGGTCAAGGATTCCAGAGTGAGTGATAGTTTTCACCGTAAATCTTTATGCCTAGGGATTGTCTCGTCTTTAGAAGTTCAAATCTTTGGGGTTCCCTCAGCAAAGAAGGCCTCTTGGTGTCCTAGTTAAGTCATCAGTCTACAAACCAGGGAACCATGAGTTCTAGCTCCACCTTAGGTACAAGGGTGGCCTTGGGGCAGTCCCTCTGTTTCAGCCCTAGGAAGAAGACGGCAATGAAACCTTGCCAAAAAAAACTGCAGGGACTTGTCCAGGAAGTCACCAGGAGTCAACAGAGACTCAGAGGCACATCCAGACACAAACAAAAGGAAGGAGAACCACTCAGTCTTACTGCCATGGCTTATTACATTGATTCCGAAGTTAACTTTAGTTGTGTCAAGTAGAGTGCTAAAGAGAAGGCCAACTTTTGTAGAGCAGAAGGAACCCAAGGGAGTCCAACTGTGAGAGGGATCTTGGAGTCTTAGTGGACAGCCAATTAAATAGGAGCCAGCCGTGTGCGGCAGCAGCCAAAAAAGCCAATGCAGTCCTAAGCTGCATTAACAGAGGGATACAATCAAGATCAAGGGAGGTACTAATACCACTCTATAAAGCCTTAGTAAGACCACACCGAGAGTACTGCATTCAATTTTGGTCACCGCACTATAAAAAAAGATGTTGAGACTTTGGAAAGAGTGCAGAGAAGAGCAACCAGAATGATGAGGGGACTGGAGGCTAAAACATAACGAAGAACGGTTGCAGGAACTGGGCCTGGCTAGTCTAGGGAAGAGAAGGATCAGGGGAGACAGGATAGCAGTCTTCCAATATCTGAGGGGCTGCCACAGAGAGGAGGAAGGGGTCAAGCTATTTTCCAAAGCACCCGAAGGCCAGACAAGGAATAATGGATGGAAACTGATCAAGGAGAGATTCAACCTGGAAATAAGCAGAAATTTTCTGACAGTGAGAACAATCAACCAATGGAACAGAAGTTGCGGGAGCTTCATCAATGAAAGCTTTCAAGAAGAGACTGGACAGCCATTGATCAGAAATGGTACAGGGTCTCCTGCTTGGGCAGAGGTGGGGTTTGGACTAGATGACCTACAAGGTCCCTTCCAACTCTGTTAATCCGTAAGGAGCCATGGCTTCGTTCAATTGGAAGAACCGATCAAGGCAATGCAACTTTATCAGTGTGTCCAACAGTGACTTGAAGGCACCAAGACACCACTGCAGACTCATCAAAGTTGTGAAGGCAGCTTTGTGTGAACCCTATGGGATAAATAAGATTGTGCATTGCAGAGCTTTGGTGTTGATCAACCTCATTCACTGGTGTTTATGTCTGTTTATTCTGCAGACGCCTTTGTTTTCAGCTTTTTAACCTTCTTTGGGAGATAGCTAGTCAAGCTAGTCTAATTCAACTTCCAGAATTTGCATTCTCCTTTTATAATATTCTGTAAAATGATTTATTACCTCGGTGCTTTCCCACCCTCTCTCCCTCCTCAGCCTAAAGACTGAAGACATCAGGTCTAGGATATTAAACAGGCTATTAATTAGTACATGATCAATAGAAATAAATGAACATTTTCATCCTGGCCCTGTCAAAATACTGATTGCTAGAGATTCTTTGGCTGTATCACCGGCTGGAAGCCTTCTGCGGTGCAAATTAAAGCAAGACAAAGACAGAAGGAAAACAGATAATATAATTTATACCAGAAACAACCTAGGTGGTTCTTTTTTCCCCTCCTATACCTGGATCAGTTCTGCACAGATCTTGAAGTTTGGGTTGTTAATTCTACAAGCTGTGATCCTGGCATTCTGGAGAACATTAGGTTGGGAGTAGGGAGATGATTGTGCTGACAGATTTCAGGATATTTGTCCCGCCAAGAGCAAAAATGGACTTGCATAGGCAAATGCTTGTGATGTGTGGAGCAGAGAACACACCGTTCCACTCTGCTTTTGTGCATCACGTTTGTTTATTTGCATAGTGTCGCCATGCCATCACAGATCAAAAGCTTGAACCGTGGGAACTATAGATCTGTTTTTCTTTAAATCACCGCTTAATCTGAGTCTGATTGAGTCAAACATCAAATTTTATATCATCAACCTGTCTGGCAAAAACAATACAACCTCCTATAAACCTTTTGCTAAGTTCACATATCAACCTCGGTAAAACATAAGAAAAACAACCTTAAAATTCTCCCTGCCAAAAATTCCTTGAATTTTCCCATGTGAACTTCCATTTTGACAGCTAGTGGAATGTCCATTTCTAATGTGGCATTTCACAGCCAGGGAAGTTTCTTTGCTTGCAGGAAAAATAAACTGTATTCTCAATTAACTCTCCCACTTCTCAGTCTAAGAGCTTACTTAGGTATTATACGGAGGCTAATTGATGTTAAGTGCCCATCTGTTTCAAACCGTAAATATGCTGCAAAGTGAATTTAATCAGAGATGAAAAATAAACAGGAGAAAATAGAGGCATGAAAGAGTTTTTTTTTAAAGTTTGTTTTTCAGTCCAGAAGGGAATTTTTTAGTGGTCTTCTAGTCCAGTGGTTGGCAACCAGTGGGCTGGGGACCACTGGTGGTCCGCAAGAAAATTTTGGTGATCCACAGAGAAACGTCACCCCCAAAGCACACCCCCCAAAGCAATTAATCCAGGCTGCGCGGGAACACAATGCTTCACCACCCACATGAGACTCACAAAGACTCATTTCTGGCGGAGATGGGGGAGAGAAAGAAAGACTTCTGCTGCTTTCCTTGCATGAAGCCAAAAGTCTCGGTATCCTGTGATCCCAAATAAAGAATGATTGATCGGTAGGAAAAACGGGGTGGGGGATTTTGTTGCAGACTTTTTTGGGGGATTTCCCCGGGGTCTTTGGTCCGCGAGATTTAAAATTATGAGTTTGGTGATCCCTGAGGTCCAAAAGGTTGGTGACCCCCATTCTAGTCTATCCTAATGAAGAGAAAGGTTAAGGGTGACATGTTAGGTATCTTCTGGTATTTGGGGGGCTGTGTCAGAGAAGAGGGGAGGGGCAACCTCTTCTCCAAAGTACCTGAGGCTAGGAGAAGAAGCAGTGGGTGGAAGATGATTAAAGCGATCTCCTAAGCCCAGGGATTCTCAAGCAGTGGCCATCCTGATCTTGATCTTCCCTTACAGGAAGCAGAAAACACCCTGAGGCTGATGCAGAATAAGCTGAAGGAGGAAGAGAAACGCTTGCTGAAGACTGGAAGTGAGTTACTTTTTCATGCAGCAGGGTAGTCCTGTCCATGTCCAGTTTTGAATAAATGGGTAAAACCAAAACAACCTAATTGAATTGACCTTGGACGTATATTGTGTCCAGCTCAACAAACCGGGAATGGCATGTGGAGCTACTTCCCAAGTAGTTTCTTTATTGCTGTTTGCCTAGAGACAGAATCTTGCCAGACTAAAACTATCTGCATAACTATAGACGCACTACGCGAACCGCTATGCCCTCTTCCTGACTACCAGATGGTCCAAGCTCCGCTACCCCTTTGCTCTCTGGGAAGCAGCCCCTCCCACCTGGGAATCCAGACTACATTCCATCACATCTGAGAGATGTCTCCGTCTATGTCTCCACCCTAGCTTGTCTCAGTTAGGAGAAAGGCAATTAAATGAAACACGTTTATCTAACATTTTTTTGCCTTCTCTCATATTGCTCTCAAATGACAACGTGTTGCTTTTCAAAATAACTTTTTGGGCTTCCCACAAAGCTTTTGAGAGCTGCAAGAAACCCTGGGATTTCTCGTGATGCAGTTGGCTTTTAATCAAATTTATTTAGGTTGAAAACTTCAGCTTGCAGGAGACAAGTTTTGGCAGGGGAATGTACAGCCATTGTTCATTGAATAGATGGGTCTATCTCACTTTCTGGAGGTCAGTCAGGATTGAAGTTGACCTTTTAGTAACATTATTTCAGCGCGGATCAGTTGATTAACTGTTTAAGTAATCCAGGTTTATAGATGAGTCCATCAGGGTTGCTATTCACACAAGTTTTTCGAGTCCTGTTCTTCCATGCCTAAACATTTGTGATCTAAAAAGACCACAGTGAAAAGCTACCTCTGTTAGTTCTCATCCATTCCCTCAACCTTTCATTTGATTTATTTCCTGCAAGGGACAGCTTAAAATCTTGAATGAAAAATGGATAATCTTCTTTCTTCCTTGTCACCCCTTGATCAAATCTCTCTGTTGGAACATAACCCTTCAAGCAGGATACAATTAAGCTGGAGATTGAAATATATAACAATATTAATTATTAACGTAACAACTTTTGACTGGAAAAATTAGTAGTAGATTGGAATAATTTATCTGGTAGCTTCTGCCAACCGTTTTGACTCATCTTAAATAAGACGTCAGCAAAAACCCTGTGGATGAATCACCTGGGCAATTTTAATACTGCCAAACAGAGTTAACTTGAACTGAACAGAAGGTTTCTAGGGGAACAATTAAAGAAATTAAGCCATATATTGCCACGCTTGTTGATTTTCTTGTTGATATATTGTCATGCTTGTTGATCTTCTATTGGCTTGTGGCTTTCCTCTCTTCCATGCCCTTTTTTTTCTGTGATGCAGAAACTAAAGTTTCTAAGCTGATACGGTAGCATCAAGATCACCTGAAGTGACAGTACTGCTTTCTGCATCCAAGTTTGGTCGCCACACTCCAAAAAAGATGTTGAGACTCTGGAAAGAGTGCAGAGAAGAGCAACAGAGATGATCAGGGGGATAAAACATATGATGACTGGTTGGGGGAATTGGGTATGTCCAATGAAGAGAAGGACTAGGGACGACTTGTTGGCAGTCTTCCAATATTTGAAGGACTGTCAGAGAGAAGAGGGGGGGTCAACCTATTCTCCAGAGCACTGGATGGCAGAACAAGAAGCAACCAGTGGGAAGCTTATCAAGAAAAGATCCAATCTAGAACAAAGGAGAAATTTACTGACAAAGAGAATGGCTAATCAGTAGAATGGCTGGCCTCCATCACTGCAGGTTTTAAGAAGAGATTGAACAGCCATTTGTCCAGAATGGTATAGGATCTTCTGCTTGATTGGATAGAAGACCTCCAAAGTCCCTTCCAACTCTTGTTATTCTGTACTCTATTCTGTAAGTTACAGAACAAACAACTGGCTTCAAACTGGTTTGTTGGATCTAAATGGACAACTGTCCTGTACAAGGAAGTCTGAAGGCCCTTTCTTCTTTGAAGCTTGATTTTAAATAGCAAAACCCTGGAAGGATTGGCAGGAAAGTTGGAGATTATAGCTCAGGGTGCATATAGAGGGGCAACAGGTTTCCAGGAATTTGATATACTGTAGATCAGGGGTATCCAACCGTGGCAACTTTAAAACGTGTAGACTTCCACTCCCAGAAGTCCCCCGCCAACTATGTTGAAGTCCACAAGTCACCGAAGTTGGACGCCCCGATAGAGATGAACTATTTCTTTTTCCAAATCTCAACATGTTGCACACACAGAAATTTGAAAAAGAAACATTCGATCTATATCAGGGGTGGCCAGTGATCTTTTGCAAATATGCAAAACCATCTGCCAAGTGAAGCTTCTTACTGCCTTAACTAAAGGTTTGAAGAATGAATTTGCAAGTGAATTTCATAGTTTCTTTCTTTGGAGCGGAGCTCTTCCCATTTCTTACCCTTCTTTTCTGCAACGTTTCTTTCATTGTAGCCATTTTAGGCAGGTAAAGAGACCGTCTGCTTGGTTTACTTACATTTCTGCTGGAAAAATGCATCAAATCCTAAATGAAGAGCGCTAACAGGCCTAGGGGAGAAGAGGCAGATGGGGGACCCATTCAGAGTTCTTGCATTTTAAAAATGTTTGGCAGATTTCATCCCCATCACCTTAGACTATCAGTCAAAAATGAACACTTGCCTAAGGCCAGGAGATAAGTTTGTGAGGGAAGTGTAAGGAGGCCAGGCACATTAAGTGCTGGATTTGAAATTTCCCCCTGGTGCAATCGTTATCTCGGCTCCCACACTGTTCCTTCTTATCGTAGACATCCTGTCAGGTTGTTTATATGTTAGCAAAACGCCGTAAGGATCGGGGCAGGGAGCTGAGTTCCAGAGCTGGCCATTCAAAGGAGCATCTCACAGATTTGGTAAAGAAATATTAGACGCTCCAGGAAAGAGCAGGGTCGGAGTCCTGGGGTACCACCATCCAAGGAATCTCTGGGTAAATGCAAAACACATTTTGTTCTTTGCCAGAAGCTGAAAAGGGGACATACAGAATAGAATTCTTGATTGGCCAAGTCTTTGGTGCATAAGCTCTCAGTGTACATAAAAGCTATAAGTGATAAATCATAGTCATCATAACAAGACGTTCATCCTAAATCATAAGATACAACACTTAGTGATAGTCACAGGATATTAAATAAGCATTCAACGTAAATCATACTAGGAAAATAAAGCAATCTAAATTGTAAAGATACAAGGAACAAAGTTATAGTCGTAAGTAGAAGGAGAGAGGTAATAAGAAAACATGAGAAGAAGAATAGCAATACAGTCTTAGTAAATAGTTTGACAGTGTTGTGGGAATTACTAGTTGTTTAGCAGAGTGATGGCATGGGGAAAAAAATTGTCTGTGTGTCTAGTTATTCTGACATGCAGTTCCCTATAGCGTCGTTTTGAAGGTAGAAGTTGAAACAGTTTGTGTCCAGGATGTGAGGGGTCTGTAAATATTTTCACAGCCCTCGTGCAGTATACAGGTCCTTGATGGAAGGCAGGTTGGTAGCAGTTGTTGTTTTTTTCTGCAGTTCTAATTGTCCGTTGAAATCTGTGTCTGTCTTGTTTGGTTGCACAGCCTCTGTAGGATTCGTGGCATATCTCTCTGTAGAATCTGCCTGATGCTGCAGTGAACCAGAGTTTGATAAGAAAGGTATCAAGCCCCAGGGAAATCGGAAGTTCAGGCAGTTCAGATGAGTATAAAGATTTATTACGAGGTTAAGCTTTCTCCAAGACTCTAATTGGCAGTTAGGAGAAATGAGCAGGAGATAAGAGAGGCCTTCAAGGTGGACCGGACCTTGAATTTTTTTTTCTTTAAAAGAAAGGCCAAATAAAAGACTGAGAAACAACCACGATCTTATGAACAAGCAGATCCAGTATGGAGATTCTCCGTCATCCAGGTCATGGTTGTCCCAAAGGGGCTTTTTTCACCGGACTTCCTGGTTTTTCGCTTCTCATCCGAGTGAGTGGAGGAAGCTTCTTGGCTGGGAAGCGAAATGTCTTCGAAGAAAAACCGGAAAGTCGGGTGGCCTCTTGGACAAAGCACCTTTGGGAGAAGCAGATCCACTATAAACAGGGTAAGCATCATTCTTGTTGGAAGGAAAATCCATCTGGTTCAAGTTTCAAGCTGGGAGGAAAACGCTGGAAATAACATGGCAGCTGATTGGAAAGAAAGCTTAATGATGAACAGATCCAGCAGTTCTGGGTCAGCTGAACAAATGATTGAACGAGTGGGTGGATTTTTATGGGTTTCTGTGACTTTGAAGTTTAAACCATTCTTGGGGGCATTGTGCAATGTCTGAAATGCCCTTAGGAGATTCTGCAATGTAGCGAGCGAGCTCGGTGTCTTCTGCTAGATGGCCATGGGTTAATCCTATTATACCCCGAAGGATCATGTCCTGTTCTTAATCCCATCACCCTGGAGCTGGAGGTCTTTTGTTTTGTAGATAGGCTGGTCTAGTCTTCCTTAATGGGCACAAAATAACTGCTGGGGGGAGGGCTATTAAGAAAGTGAGTCTGCTTTCTGCCTTTAAAAGCATGTTTCTTCGGGGGGCGGGCTTCCCACATTCTGAAATCAAACATTTTGACGCGTATAATTGAAAACCTGGTGATGAATAACCCTCCTGCTCATGTAATAAGGGGCAGCCAGTGGTTCATAGAGTCCCCTTGGGATGCTTGGAGAAAGGCAAGAAAATTGAGAGCATCGCTTATTTGCGCGGGAGGGAGGGAGGGCGCAGCAATGGCTTGGGGAGCTGCTTGGCTCTTCCCCAAGGGCTTCTTGGCAGACCAAGCTGAGCCCAAATGCCATTGCTTAGATCTGTGTAAATGTGAATCAGCGAGTGAGACTACATCGGTCAGTTGACAGAAAATGCATCTGGGGTTTTATCAAGACCGACCTTCTGTTTCTGTGATGAATAACCGGCTGGCAGGCAAGAAGATGACATGGTCTACGCCAGCGAAGCTCCCGCCGGAGTTTGTAAACATGATCGGTGCAAGATAAGCGCGTGAAAAATGCCCGGCGTGATTTCACTTGGCCTGATACAGACAGGACAATTTGTCTGATGTGTTCATCACATGGAAAGAAAAAGGAGAAAAAAAATCAAAAGTATCCCCAAAAAGGGGAATACACAACATTACTCAAGTTTTAAAGGGAAAGTGAATTGAAACTTCAGAGTAGTTTTCCACCCTGCCCCCACTAGAAGACTGCTATCATGTCTCCCCTTCTCTTCCCTAGACTAGCCATGCCCGGTTCCTGCAACCGTTTATCGAATGTTTTAGCCTCCAGGCCCCTAATCATCCTGGTTGCTCTTCTCTGCACTCTTTCCAGAATCTCAACATCTTTTTTATAGTGCGGGTGACCAAAACTGGATGCAGTACTCTAGGTGTGGTCTTAGTAAGGCTTCATAGAATGGTATTAGTACCTCACTTGATATCGATTTTATTCCTGTTAATGCAATTTAGGCTTTTTTGGCTGCTGCTGCACACGGCTGGCTCATATTTAGCTGGTTGTCCACTAAGACTCCAAGATCCCTCTTCCAGTTCCTGCTATTGAGCCTGGTTTCACCCAGTCTGTATGTGTCCTTTTGGTTTTTCTTGTCTTAGTCTAGGAATTTACTTTTCTCTCCACTGAATTTCATGTTGTTAGATACGGCCCAGCGTTCTAGTCTACCAAGATCCCCCTGGATCTTGAGCCTATCTTCTTCTTCTGTTGGCTATTCCTGCCAGCTTAGTATCATCTGCAAATTTGGTTCTTCCAAAGGGTACGAAGAAGCTGGGAAGACCAGGTGACTTCCTCATCCTGCCTCTCTGGCAGTTAATAACTCAGAGGGGGTTCTCATTTTTATTCAGGTCACGATGACTCCGACATGGAGATCCACGAGGACGAGGGATCGGACAGCGATCTGGAAGACCGGCAGCTGATCAAGCAACACACAGCCATGGAGATGCTCATGCATGGTGGGTAGATCTGCTCAAGGCATGTTTTCAAACTGTGCAACCTGCACCGTGCAAAGGAGAAAAATGGCTTTGAACAGACGAAGCCATGTCAGCTTGTACCAGCGTGTTTAAAAAAAAGAAAAAAGTTTAAAATGCTAAAGAGTGTCTTGTTCCTGAGCTGATTTTAGACAACTGGCTTTTCTCCAAAATCCAGATGAAATCCAAAGAAAGATAACGAAAGGGATTAAAAATGTGTGCTTTGCTGTCAGCCCTTTGAGAGGAGCCAGGAAAACAAACTCCACAAGAAATATTAAAACTCTTTATTTATTATTATAGGCCACAGTAACAGTATTTGGATAAGGGACGCGGTGGCTCGTTGGCTAAAACGCTGAGCTTTGTTGATCAGAAAGGTCGGCGGTTGGAGTCCCTAGTGCCGCGTTAACGGAGTGAGCTCCCGTCACTTGTCCCAGCTTCTGCCAACCTAGCAGTTCGAAAGCATGTAAAAAAAAAATGCAAGTGGAAAAATAGGGACCCCTTTGGTGGGAAGGTATAACAGTGTTCTGTGTGCCTTCAGGGTTTAGTCATGCCGGCCACATGACCACGACAGCGCTGGCTCTTCGGCTTTGTAACAGAGAGGAGCACTGTCCCCTAGAGCCGGAAATGACTAGCATGTACCTTTACAGTTTAACAGTATTTGGAAAGCCTAACAGTGTTTTGTTCAATAAAAGATAGACATAGAATATGTCTGTAACTCAGGGTTGAACTGTGGTGTCCTTGGTGCTCTCTGGGCTAGGTTGTTTTAGTCAGGATGTTTTATTACCCAACTAGGTAATAAGCGTTAGAAAGTTATAGGGGTTTCCTCTTCGTTAACATGCAAGCTTGGCCTACTCTCTTCCAAGCACTGATGATGTTACCTAGTTGGGTAATGAAACGTCTGCAAGTAAACAACCAAGCTCAAAGAACACCAAGGTCCCCACCGTTTCTTTTTCTCTTAAGTCTAAGAGAAGTCAAGCCAAGATATCCTCGAGCTTCTTTCTCACCCCAAGGTGCCTTTAAAGCAGGGTGTGTGCGTGTGTGTGTGTGCGCGCGCAACCTGTGGCATTCTTTCACATGTTCCCCCCACCAAGAGCTGTTCAGGAATAAAACACTCACTCACTGTTTCTTAGTGGAAGGGACCCCAAGCCTCAGATTCTAGCAGTGAAAGCTTTTGTAAGCAGATGACCAACAGTCTTAGACCAAGTCAGTTTCCTTTAGTTTAAGCCCATCTTACCTAGTTGAACCTGAGCCAAAGGAGTAGGTGCTCCTTGGAGGGGCGAAATCCCCACCCAAAAGGTGCCCATTCTAACAGGTGTGAACATTTCTACCTTTTTTTTAGCTCTGCCGACAATGGAAACCTCTATGTTCTTGGATTATATTTTTGTTACTTTTTCTGACGAATATGGTGTATTTTAGGGCGGCCGAGCAAACGGCTTGTTGGGACCATGCACGGGGGAGACACGGAGGATGAGGTAAGTGGCTGTGGCTGAAATGCCACGTTGAAACATGAGTTCACAGGCACTTTTTTGCAAATTAGAAACAAAGATCATTTTAATGGTTTTCCTGCATGAAGGAAAGCGTGAAGGTCTTCGCTCATTTCCCGCCAGTGCAGTTTTGCATTTATTTATGACTAAGCCAAAAAACCCATTTCCTCTGCATATAGTTACACTGGGTGTAATGTAACAATTATGTAATGAACTTTTTTAAAACGTTGGGTTTTAAGTTTCCCTGTCTCTTCTTTAAAATGTATATGCTGTTTTTGCGCTTCACTGTTTTATTTGTACACCTACCAAGTCCCTCTGTAAGGCAGATGGGTGGTTTCTAAATTTGATTCATTAATTGCTTAAATCAGGCAAGTTGAACCTTATTTAAATCAGAAGTGGGTGGACAAGATAGGATTGTAAATAATCGAAAGGTAATACGATCAACAGTGAACCTATGATTTCTTACACTTCTCTCTGAATGATTTTTTTCCATGTGTATATTCAAATATGCATATGCTCTGCATAGTAAAAGCATCTGGGATTATGAATGAGCTTTGGATGATTTATAGATGATTCACTTTGATTAGAAGTGCTCATGAATGCTGATAATAAACTGCTTTGGCGGTATAATATCTTCAGAGGCCCAATAATTACCTATGTCTCAGAATTGACAGCTTGGGCCTGAAACTTATTTAAATACTTAACTTTGCAATTTAGTCCTTAGTCCCATGGCTTTCAGTGGGCACTATTGAAGTATTTTGCTCTGGGCACTCAGGATTCGGATGAATTTTTATACAAGCCTTTGTATAAGATGCCCTTTGGGTTCCGATGTGAATAGAAATTAGAAACATGCCACTTATCATTTGCTGCGCTACAGGACGGAAGGTCCTTGACTTATAACCATTCATTTAGCGGCTGTTCACAGTTACAGTGTCAGTGAAAAAGGGGGACTTATGGCCAGCCCTCACATTTATAACCATTACTTCATCTCCGTGGTCACAAGATCCGAATTCAAGGCACTTGGCAACCATCAAGTATTTGTGACAGTTGCAACATCGCAACGTCCCTTCGTCACCATTTGCGACTTTTCCAGCCAGCTTCTGAGAAGTGGTCAATGGGGGAAGCCAGATCTGCTTAATGACCCCCTGATTCACTTAAAAACAGCAATGATTCATTTAACAAGCATGGGGGGTGGGGGGATATGCGTAGAATTGGCCATGGTTCACCTTGTTTAGTGAGCGCAGGTCCCAAATAAGTCGAAAACTACCTGTAATAATAGCTCCAGTTTGAAAGCATTTTTCCCCTCTGGTTTATTTGCAGAGCCCACCTCTTCCAAAAGAGACCTGTTGACTGTAGGCCAGATTTAGGGGTCCACAGGTCTGAAAGTGGCTTGGAGGACTGGGCTGTAACATCACCAGCTACCCACATTTATTTTTATTTAGCGCACAAACACATGGACTTAACAATGGTTCAAATGTTAATGTCTAGTCCCCCCTGCCCTTCAAGGACAGGGTGGTTGGTCTACGTTGAAAAAAAATCAGACATTGGGCCGGTGTGAGCTCTTGGTGGACATTCGGATAACAGTGCAATGGATATTTTGTCGAGGAGTGTCACAGTCACACTGAAGGGTAGAGACAAGACCCCACTTAAACAAGGGCTCCTCGCAGTCCCCATGTTGGGTACGGATCCTGTTCAGAGTTGACCCATGCTGGCGAGGAAGGTCAAAACCTGGCACCTTCTGTGTAAGGCAGGAGTCTGCACCCTGTGGCTCTGGAGCCACATGCGGCTCTTTCGGCCCTCTGCTGCAGCTCCCTGTCGGCTGATCCCACCCCTGGCTGGCCCCGCCCTTCCCCTCCCCGTCACTCTTCACCTGGCCTGAGAATGTAAGAGTGACGGCGGAGGATGGACTCGCTCCATATTCCAGAGCAGGAGGTGATTAGGTGGGAGTGAGTGACCTTGAGTTGGCCACGTGCCCACCCTGTCACACTGGTTGATAAATTATTGGTTCCCGGTGTTTTCTGTGGGTCCAAATTGGCTCTTTGGGTGTTTAAGGTTGCAGACCCCTGGTGTAGGGTCATCTATGTAACGGCCTGTATCTGGGTGTTCAACAGCCCGTTTGGCTTTTGTGGGTTGCTGTCAAAGTGGTTGGTCAGCTTTTGAGCGAGTGCCATCAGGGGCTTCCTGGATTTAAGCCTGCCAATCGATCGATGAGGGAGATCAGCATGCACAGGAAGAAGTGGGTCTCTCATCATTTTGTTGTTCTGACCAAGGCTTCCGAGGCCGCAATGAAGCACACGCTTAGTTAAAACAACTCTTGTTTTATTTTCAACGCTGGGAATTATTTTCATTCTCAGCCTGTAATGAGTCCCAAACAGTTCCTCGAGATAAGCACCCGCCTTTCTCTCCTGTGTATTGCTGCCAATAACTAAAGTGCCAAATGAAGTATCAAAAAACCAAGTCCACACCGCAATTAGGTTTAATACGATAGACTTGCAGGGCCAGTGCAACGCGTTCATACACCAGTGTAGTATAATATAACATTACACACATATAGTATACGGGAATGTGCGTTAGTTATTACTTATTTGGGTTTAGGGATTCTATTTCTTTCATTTATTGAGTTATTGGGGTGCTTTTTGTGTTTTTTGGAGAGGAGGGGCTGCACCGGGGAGGCTCACTGTACATGTGTTGTGCATTGACAAGAAAGGTTTGGTTTCGTTTGATTTGATTTGAAGTTAACACGGCCTCTGCTCTACTAACCAGCAAAACTCAACCCTGAAGGGTCTTCCTTGGTTCCTGTTTCTTCAAGCAGATAGCTGCCCTCTTAGCATGGTCCGGTCGTGCTTGAGCCGGTCAGGCTGCTAAGCTGTCTTCTCCAGCCCTGTTTGGATTTGAATTCTCTTTTCTATTTGCCTTTTGCACTCATGCCTTTTTTTTTAACCCTCTCTGGTGTCCTTGCTCTAACTTCTTCCTTCCTCCATCTTGTGGGGCCTCGCGTGCTGCTGCTCCCTCTTCCAAAGATCGGGGCAGCCCAAGCCCGAACCCCGAAGCGCAAAGCTTCCCGAGCCAAGGCAAAGGTGCGTGTCTCTCTCCTGCCTGCCAAACACCTGGGGGTGGGTGGGGGCGGGTGAGGCTCATCCCTTGCTCACAATACCCCTTGCCTCTCTTCTCTGCTCTTTGGGTTGTGCTCGCCTTCAGAAGCCCTTGGTGGTAGGAGGACAGGGGTGAAGGTAAGACACGAGAGCTGGCATGCCGCCTGCCAGGGGTGGAAGCCACACGCAACGGCTTCTCCCTAATCTCAGGTTCAGGGGTGGGATAATTTATTTATTTTTTACTACCGGTTCTGTGGGCGTGGCTTGTTGGGCATGGCAGGGGAAGGTCCCTGCAAAATCTCCATTCCCTCCCCACTAACCTGCTTTCCAGCTCCATTCTTCTGTGCAGGGCAACCAAAAAAGACCCAGCCAATCAGCTAGGACTCGGGAGGCGGAGAATAGATGGGGTTGGCGGGGCCAGTCAGAGGTGGGATTGGCCAGTTCTCCAAACTACTTAAAATTTCCACTACCGGTTCCCCAGAACTGGTCAGAACTGGCTGAATGCCACCCTCTGCTCAGGTGTTATCTGGAGACTACCAGTGAAGGTGGTGGTGGGGTTGGATCTAATGCAGTGTTTTTCAGCCTTGGCAAACTTGAAGATGGGTGGACCAACTCCCAGAATTCCCCCTGCTAGCCGTGGGAGTTGAAGTCCGCCCAAAATCAGCTTGCCAAGGTTGAGACGCTCTGCTCTAGTGGGAGGAAGTCATCCCAGAACTACGAAACAGCTTCCTCGGGAGTTGTTTTGCCAAACTGTATGTCAGGATTCCAACAAATCCATCCCCATTCAAATCATAAGTCTCTAGCCGCATCTCAGAGAAAAGAAAATTGATTTATTGGAAGTGGCCACGTTGGTGTTGGCTGGATCCAGCCGATACTAAAGTCCATCATTTCCCCCTTGACCCTGGTCTTCCCCCCAGCCCCTGGATGTGTATTCTCCAATGGGACACATCCATAGCCAAGAGTCATCCATCATGCTCTCCAGTAATATCCTTGTGCTCCAACAACTTTGGGCTGCCAGGGTGATTATCTAGGCACTTTAGGAATGCACTGTTTTCCCCCGCTCCCTCTTTCTGGCAGCTAAAAATACCAAAGGAGTATCTTTTTAATTGACACCATTAGCCATAATTTTCTGGGTTGTCACAGCATATTAAGGTTTAAATTGTGTTTCGGTAAACCCACTAGGGTGGGGGTATCAAACTCGTGGTGTCATGGCGGCATCACGTGACATATTGGGACTTTTCCCCTCTTCACTACACTGGGTGTGGGCGTGACTAGCGTGTGACACATTCGGCCTGTGGGCAGGCCTGCACTAGGGGATGTGAGAACCAGGGAGTGTAGTATTTCTGTTTCTGTTTTAAAGAAAAATGGAAAGGCAAGTTTGATAGTATAAATCTCTTTCTTTCCCCTCAAAAATTTCCTTTTTTCATTGTACTTCCCTGTGGAACTGTTATCTTCAAGCACAAATTTTCAGAGGACAGCAGATTGCAGACCCTCTTCCAGGCCTCCCTTTGTCACTCTCACGCACATACACAAAGTGTTTCGTTCCTTAAAATTACAGCTTTTATTCACAATAAACTAAAGAGACTGTAGATTATTTAACTGGATAGCAACTGTATTCATTCAGTCATACCGATAAATATTATCTATATTAATTCTTCAAGACTGGGGTGTATTATTTTTTTTAAAAAAAAAAAAAACCAGAGAACCAATGCACACTTTTTCTTACAGGAAGACTCAGAGGAAAGTGAAATTGATCTGGATGACGATGATGATGATTTGGAAGATGACAGCATGGACATCTCCCCCACCCAGGCCAATCGGAGAGTCAGGAAGCCAGAGCCACTGGAAGAGAGCGATAACGACTTCTGAGGAACCTCAACAGGGATGACAAACGACAACTTACCCATGACTATACACATGAGGAGAACCTCAACATCTTCAAGTTAACAGTCTAGAAACAAAACCTTGGTCAGCACTAGGATGTGATTCTCATGTTATTTCAAAGAGCAGTTTAGGGTGGGTTAACAAACTGAGTTTGTCTCTACTTTACAGACCGGCAGTTGAGTCTTGAAAAAGCCAATTCTCTGTGACAGATTAAAAAAATAATTGTTATTTTGTCAAAGATCAAGGCAAAATAGAGCCAAGTGGAATGGAAACCCCCCCACAAGGAGAGGCTGATGGGTTTAGAGTTTGTCCAGTTGTTTGAGCTCCCATCTGTCCTTGAAGCTATTGGTGGTACATCCAATTCCAAGTTGGTCCATTGAGGAGAAATCCTCATTAGACGGGGGTGGAAACAGCTCTAGGAAAAACAGAGTTTATTTGAACTGAATTAATCATATACAACTCTAATACCATCTCTGTCTGTACGAACATGTCTCTTCAGATTCACGGAAGTATTTGATAGACCATTTTGCTCAAGTCAGGAAGTATTAACCTTGCTCTGCGCTGGCGTCTCCTTGGTTCACAACTCTACACCAATGACAATCTTGTTCTCCTTCTGATTTTGACTGTAACATTCCTGCACTTTGCAAGTAAATGCTCTTCACTTCCTCTCCCTTGTCTTTGATCTTATGTCTTTGCCCCCAGTTAAGAAATTCAAGAAAAGTAAATCCAAAATCAATCTACCGGCCTCTTTCAAATCAGCTTTGGTCATGGTGCTTCATCCAAGCATCCTCCTCTCAGGAGCGAAAATCCAGGATGCTGTGATGATTGGTTGAGAGTGAGTCGGGCTTCTCTTTGATCCCGGTTTGATGGATATGTCTCCCCTTCAGGTCCATCCCAGGCCTTCAAGACCTCCGTCCTTTCACCCTGCCCTCGGTCGATGGGCACAGGGAAGGTATCCGCGCATGCGTGCAAAACGCCACACTCTTCCTCCAGCTTAGTCCCAACTGCGCTTTATATCTCCACCACGCAGCTAGGGGTGTTTGCTCGGATGGCCTCAGAAATCACCTTGGCTCCCGATTCACCAATTTTATTTCCCAGCAAGCTGTGGGAGAAACAAACGAAGACGCTTTAGAGGGCCACTTCACCGCAGAGACTTGGCTCAAGGTCAGACCGATCTGCTCTCCAATTGCATCCCGTTGGAAGGAGATGTGGGTTGTTACCCAGGGCTGGGATTCTACCGGTTTGGACCAGTTCTATAGAAATGGTGGTAACGATTTTGCGCAGTTTGGAGAACCGGGAAATTGTGCCCCTAGCTGGCCCCGCCCTTCTCTGGCCTTCCCCTCCCAGTCAGTCCTTATCGCGCCTGCATGACATTGCTGACTGCGTTCTCCCCCGCCCGGTCACTCCTTAAGGTATTTCTTTCTCTTTCCTTCCTCCCGACTATTAGCTGTTCCGATGATCAGCTGTGCTGGGATCCCCCTCACTGTCTTACTGCTTTGCCCAGGAGGCCCCAAAATGGAGCAGCTCTGTGTTTTTGCCTTCCTGGGCCCCAGGAAGCTTTCGGGGAGCAAAAAACACCCCCACAGGAGGCTTCCCCAAAGCCTAGAAGCCCCCCAAAATGGGGAGGGATTTGCTGCGAAGAAGGAGGAGGAGAGGGAGAGAGGGGAAAGGGAGGAGGAGGAGAGAAGAAGGAGCAGAAGGAGAAAGAGAAGAAGAAAAGAAGAAGAGTCGCATGGCCATGCCCACCTAGCCATGTCCACAGGACCGGTTGTTAAAAAATTTGAATCCCACCCTGGTTGTACCTTGACTGCTCCCTTTCCACCATTGGCTGACGGTGGTTTTGGTTACTTCTGACTCTCCTGGACCAAACACATTATTTCAGAAAGTCTTAACAGCTTGGAGCTCCCGCTTGGGTCATCAATGGCCATGGTTGGCCGCCTTGTTTTCTGTTGACTTCTTTTTCACGGGCCTTTGATTTCTTCCAAGCACCAGGGTCTTCTCTGTTGACACTTACCTGTGCGTTAGGTGTCCAGAATGTCTAAGCTTATAGTCTCATTACGCCAGCTGAGGCATACCTGCATGACCTTAATGATTATCATTTTCTAACCTGCTGGTGAGTATAAAAAAAAACCCCAAACTCCATAGGAGCTTCCCTTCACCATAAGTGTGGCCATAGGAACTTTTGGAGCTTCTAGAATCGAGACCAACCTCTCCAGCAGGCACCACCTTGGGAAAGGCTGTTCTAGTTCAACAAAGGTACTTACTTGATGTAGGTGAGGTTGTGTCTTCCTGTCAGTGCCGTGGCAATGCAGATCGCCCCATCCATGCCCAAGGAGTTCTCCTGGAGGCTGAACAAGAACACGGAAACATCTGGCTCTATATGCACAAACAGGAAATTTCTAGCATTGTTTGGTTCTTGTTCAGCATGCTGAAGGAACCAATTTCTTGCAATTTGTATTGTCTTTTAGTCTGGTCTGATCTGACATGTGCCTCATATCTGCTCTAGCTTTATTTTCTACGAACGATCTTGAGAAACACCAAATGAATACTAAGAATCGATCAAGACTAATGTCTCTGAAGGAAAGTCATACGCAACTCTAAAGCCATTTTTGAAAAATTCGCCAATGCAACTGTCCTGTTTTATGTTTCCTGTTTCCTTGAGCTTAAGGTGTTTCTTTCAGCTTAAGATATTTCCTCAAGCTTCAGACTGTTGTAATGACGAGGCAGTTGAGTTGTTTGATCATGATCAACTGAATCGTGATGATCTTTATTGGAGTCTTGCATTTATACACATTTTTAATTATCCTCCGTCACTGGTTAACTTTGGTCACTGCTTAACTTTCGTTACTGTTTAGCATAGTAAATAACACAATGAATTATCTCTAGTTAAAGTCTAACATATGTTTACTTCCTCTCTCTAATCCTCCTTTGGATTAGTGACTTTGTTTGCCTGAGTTGTATTTGCTTGGAAACATTATTTATCTGAGGTTTGCCATCCGAGATAGGAACGTTCCTGCAATTACAACTCTACATAAGACATTTCAAGGCAGCCGGTTGATTTAGGAACAAAGATACAACATTCTTGAAATATTGATCAGCCCTGTACTTTACAAATCTAACAATTGCTTGATGATAGGTACGATATTAAGGCTATTTGCGTCTTTCTCTGGATAATAAATGCAAAATCATTTCAGTCTGACCCAAGCAGAGCATATATATATATATATGACCTAAATGTTATATGACCTAAATGTTAGTAGCTGAAACTTGCTGTCAAAGCTAGGAAGCCAAGCCTTCGAGATACAAAAGAGATTGCTTCCAATCTGAGCAATAAAATACATCAAAAGTGCCCAACCCTGGCAATTGGAAGACTTACAGACTTCAACATCCAGAATTCCCCAGCCATCCATGCTGGTGGGGAATTGTGGAAGTTGGTGTTCACAAGTCATTAGTCTTAAAAAGTTCTGGATTTCTGGGAAGTGGAAATCCCTAAGTTCTTTAACGTTGCCACAGTTGGACACCCTTAGCACATAGAGTAAGGATTCTTCCCAAGCGGCCTTTCCCACACAATCGCAACTTACTTCAACCTGCGGAGGGTGCTATTGACTTTCAAGGACTGGGCCACAGCCTTGGCTCCCATCAGACCAATGGAGTTTCCTCTAAGGCTGAAATCAGAAATAAGGAAGAATGGTGATGAGGAGGCTACAGCTGGATGGAGCAGTTAACCCATATCTCTGAGATAAGAAGGGGAAAGACCTCATCCCCATCATCCAGGCAGTGTCCCCAACGTTCCCAGGTGGTATCCGAGAAATACCATGAAATATGAACGAATGAATCTCATGAGAAGTTGGGAATCTAAATAGGTTTCAGAGATTTTCAATCGGGCAAGGTTGGCACCGCCTCTAGTCATGCGCCTCTCAACTTCAGCAGTGTTCAGATGCGTGGACTTCCACTCCCAGGATCCCTCAGCTTGGGGGGATCCTGGGAGTTAAAATCCACACCCCTTAAAAGTTACTGAGGTTGAAAAACCTGGTTCTTTCTTAAGGGCACTTCCAGAGAATTCTCAGCCGTCGCAGCAATTCCCGGCGGGGATAATGGGAACTGCAACCCATCACACCTGGTGAGTAGCAAAGGGGTGAAACGAGTCGGCTTTTAACCTGTTAGGGTCTGAGATGTATGAGTGGGATCCCACAGTCCCCCCCCTCTGCATCCTTATTGAAATCAAGCAGGAAATTTTTACATCGAGGTGAGGAGATGGTTACTACGCCTCAAAAAAGCCCAATTAAAAAGATGGAAACTTCAAGGGAAATATCTTCATCATTGGACCGAACAGCACGAGGAGCTGCCTGGAGATTCGAAGGAGGAGTGGACGGTTAGGAGATGTTTAAATAGACTCCAGACTGGCTTGGCTAGAACTGAAGACCCCATGGGAAAAAATGGAGGTTTCTCCCAGAAGACAGGGATATTTACTGGGACTGTGGCACTATTCAAACAATTATCCATCTTTTACACGGCCCCCTGGGGACCAACATGCACACAGAATGACACCGTCAGAAATATCCCTGCCATGAGTGCTTTTAATCTTTTTAAAATTTAAATTAATAATTCCCCCCTTTCTAGTTCCTGCCTTTTTCACACGAGATGAGATCCCTCCTTGTGGGAAATCAGATGAGGTTACTTACTCCAACACGGCAAGGTTCTTGTTAACCACCAACGCTTCGGCCAAGGCTGTGGCCCCACTCACCCCGATGGCTGCCACCTGCAGGCTGCAAACAAATCAGCACCTTTAAGAGGGCTGCCAACTATGCCAGCCTGCCCTTTGGCAAAGCACCAGTACTAATTACAGCCTAATCAGAGAATATTTATAGCTCAGGGTTGAGGTGAGGGGTCCTTGGTGTTCTCTGAGCTTGTTGGTTTGGCTTGATGACGTTTCATTACCAAGCTAGGTAACGTCATCAAGTGTGAGGCAGCGTAGGCTGACGGGAGGTATGGTGGGTCAAGCTATTGTATATAAACAGAGAGCAAACTCCATCCTCCCTACTAATACTGATGTTGTTACTTAGTTGGGTAACGAAACATCTGCAAGAAAACCATCAAGCTCAGAGAGCGCCAAAGACCACCATTCATCAGAGCATCCAGGAACTCAGTGGGATAAATGGTCAAAAGAGTCAATTTTCACGCTGAGTGTGAAGGCCTGTGGGTTTCTGATTTTGAGGTCAAATGGCTTCCACCTGCTGCCCTCTGTCCTCTCTGCTTTCCATATAAACAAGTTGAAAGGCACAGGAGAAGTTGGGGAGATCAGAACTGTTTCTCAGTTGGGTTCCTTTCCCTTATAAAATTCCTGCAGAAAATGAAAGTCCCTGTTCAACATTTGTACGCGATTTATGCGTTTCAGGTTTTCCATGCACAAAAGTACTGCCAGTGGGGGATTTGATGACCTCACGTTTAGAGAAGGAAACTCACTGCAGCTCGTTCAAGTCTTCTGGTGTTGGAAATAACAGAATAACAGATAAATCAGCAGCCGTTAAACACACAGGGAGTCCTTGAACTATTGAGCCACAATTGAGTCCAAAATTTGGGCCAACGGTAGCTGATCTCATCCACCGCATGCTTTCACCTGCTCCTCTTCATTGATGTACTGCTCTTCTAGGTAGCAAAGGAACTTACTAGAGCGCTTCTAGCGTTGAGTTCACCCGTAGGGCAGAGGCCAAAGCAGCCGTTCCTTCATCCCCAATGGCATTTTCTTGTAAACTGGAGAGACAATAAACACAAAGGATTAGTTTACTTCATGGCTCAAGGGGTGGAGATTTGACCATTATAGGCTCAAAAGCTTGACAATGGAAGAATAGTTTTGAAGAGGATGAAGATTGTGGAGATGACTTCTTGGATTAGAGAAAAAAACACTATCTTCGTTGATAGAACAGAATATTGTTTATTGGCCAAGTGTGATT